CCAGCGCTGCCCGGGCTGTCAGGCCTGGGCAGGCTACTCCCTTTGCAGGTCAGGGAACACGGACCTAGGACACAGGCTGGAAGCTGTGCTCTGGTAACCTGGTGAGTGCTCCTCACCGATTTTCCAGAAAATCTGAACATTAGCATAGTAATCTGGAAGGGACCGTCAGAGAAAGACTTCAGGAGTGGAAATCAGCCTGACAGAAGGAAGCAAGATTAGTCTCCTGAGACCAGCAGGCATTGTGGGTAACACAGATGTATCTACTATGGATGGCCAGCATTCCACTCTGTGGGTCATCATGAGGGGAGAGGCCTGACCTTCTCTGTGGGTGTCCCTGTGGATACACATATACGGAGGTGCATAGTGCATTCTGTGGACCCATCAGAAAATGGAAGGAAACCAACTGCTCTTATGTGAACCAGTAGGACCCCTGTACTGGTGATATTAAACACACAACGCACACACATGCACACACAGAAGATCCTTGCATGACTACAGTAGCCTTGTGACTCCACGGAGAACTGAGATAGGCATGTGGGAGGGAAGCATGGTCTCCCCACCTTATCTGTCCCTTGAATTGAAAGTGTATCACATCATGTTTTGGTCTTATCCGTGGTGTGGAGACTTCTAACAGTGCCTCTAAGTCACCCGTTCTTGCTCTACAGAGGGAACACTGGAGGCTGTACAGTGTGACAGTGACTTTAGGATAGAGCAGTGGGGTGGGAAGCCAGCTTTGTCATTCCATCAACATCCCTCCACAAATAGCAACCCATGGACTTTTCTTTGGAGCTGTTTCTACAGGATGACTCTTAAGGCCCACTAGATGGTGTGTGAATGTCTACACTCAATTCCTTCCTCAGAGTCAAAGTTACGGATCTTTTACTCATTTAAAATGTGACTGATAGTGTTCAGTTTGTGGAAACCAGCACTAACTGCTGCTCTTTCACAATCACAAGGCGTCTTTCTAGTCCTGGATGTTTTTACTTCTGAACTATCTTCCAGGTGATGTCAAGCAGTCCTGTGTGCCAGGACTCTGTTGTGGCTTTCAGGGTTCTCAGATCCCATCACAGCCAGGAGACAGATCAGCCCTTGGTGCCTCACTTACAGCACTGAGCTGCAGGACCAGGCCCCAGGAGTCCTCACTCCTTCAAGCAGGTTTTGTTCTTAAAAATCTCACCTACTTCAAATCTGCATATTAAAACAAAACAAAACCCACAGCAGGAGTTAAACCCCCCATAGAGCTAGTAAAACAGGGAAACTTTCCAGAAGCCTGCACTGCCCTAAGGCCACCAGAGCTCGGAATTCGGCTCTGCTTCTGCCAGCTAATCAAAGTAAAGCAGCCATGGTTCTCCATGTTTGCAGCAGCCAAGGTTCTCGGGTTTGCAGCAGCCAAGGTTCTCGGGTTTGCAGCAGCCATGGTTCTTATGTTTGCAGCAGCCATGGTTCTTGGGTTTGCAGCACCTATGGTTCTCCAGGTTTTGAGCTTGCAAATTATTTTGCAGTTCAAAAGAGGGAGGCAACTCAATTCTAGAAGCAATTTTCTGTAATTCTAAGAGAACATTTTAGAAAGGCACAACATGTAATACTTATTTTTAAAATGCATAGACCTAATCAAACAGGTTATTGACCCCCTATCAAACCACCATCTGAGGCAATCTGACAGTCTACAGATGGCTTGGGTCTGTTCGCCTCCTAGTACTTTGCTTTAAAGATGACAATTGTCATTTCTATAGCAACCACTTTCTTTTCTTTATAATTTTACTATCTGAATAACACCCCAAACACTAGTTTACTTTTGCCTGTATTTAACTTCCATGACTAGAAGCATACATATACTTATATACTTGTGGCTTTGTTTTGCTTAGTAAGATTCCTCAAGTTGCCTTCTTAGGCTGCGCCTTTCCTGTTGCTGTCCCCACTAAGTGCATTCACATTTCAAGAATACAATTTGTTCACCTGCCTGTTGATAGAGCCCTGGGTCATCTTTAGTTGTTGGCTATTACGGATTGCTACCACGAGCACTGGTCTGATTTGATTCTACACACATCCACTATATAAGTAAATTGTGTCTCAAGAGAACATCCTGGCCAGTCTTTGTGGATATCCTGTAATTTTCCATTGTCATGCCCAATTATAGAACCATCGTGGGTGAACTTGTCTACACTTGGAATTACCAGTCTAAACAAGTCTAACAAGTCCAAGACTTGTCTACACTTGGAATTACCAGTCTAAACAAGTCTAACAAGTCCAAGAATTGTCTACACTTGGAATTACCAGTCTAAAGTGTAACAACTCATGAGCACCTGTCTTGGCTTCCTGTGTGAACTCTAGTTACTAAGGTCAACTACTTTCCCATAGGTGCACTAGCATTTGGATTTCTTTAGCTTGTCATGCCAATTTTTTTCTTTTGTACTGTTTTTCCTCACTTCTCGAATGACATTTTTAGCATGTTTAACTCTTTATGTCATATCTGTGGTAGCATTGAAGTATTTATACTTTAACATAACTGTTAACTATGGTAGTTTGGGTACTTTTGAGTTCTCCACACAGCCTCGCCAAGTGTTTCCTGTCTTTTCCTCGCTTTCTTGCCTAGCTCTTAACAGAAGCAACTCGGACGAATTGGTGATAATGTCCAGGTCTTTGCCATCTCAAAAAAGTCTCCACTACTTCCCGTAGCAGATCTGCATTTTCCAGGCAGGAGACCAGTGTTACTGCTTCTCATCCACTGGGTACAGTTACCTGGCTCCTCTGAGAGCAAGTGCGGGGGCACCTGGTGGGACAACTGGTTGGTTTGGATTCATCATACTGGCAGACACGGTGACCATGGTGGAAACCTGACAGATGCTACCTTGGTTTGCTAGGGCTGCTGGATCCAGCTGTCACAGGCTGGCGGCTTGACATCTCACAATTCTAAAAGTGCAAAGTCAGATGTCTGCAGGACTGGCTCCTTATGAAGGCAGCAAGGGAAGGATTTATAGCAATCCCTTCCCTTTCAATAAAAAACCTGAGCACATGTGCTCAGATACAAGGCTTTAGGACATGACTATATACTGAGACATACAATGTTGGTCACACTGTTGGGAAGAGGGGACAGGGACAGTACTAGGAAGAGACACTTTGCATAGAGCTCCAGCAGTAAAAGTCCACAGAAATCCTGTCGTCTAGTCAAGAGCAACACAGGGGAGAAGCAACTGTGCAAAGGCACGCAGAGGCAAGGCCGGCAGTGCAGAGACCATATGAAAGCCAATGCCAAAGAACAGCTGAAAGATGGTCTAGCCAGGCCGTCTGCCAGACGGAAGTCAGAGTCAGCTTCGGTAAGAAGGAGGGTGGGATGTGGGCAGGGATTGAAAGGTCTAAGGGCAACTGCTCGTGAGATGTGAAGATGGGAAGTGGAGAGATCTAGCCAGGTTCACTTTGACAGGGCTATAGTCAGGGGAGCCATTTTTTGATCAGAGAAGCTGGACACAGCCCTGGTGAGCCAAAAAGAGTCACAGAGTATAAGAAATCAACTGTCCAGCATAATTCCCGAGTCATGGGAAAGGGTATGGAGAGGGGGGGTTAAGACTTTTTGGTTCAGTCATCAGGAAAGCCAAAGTTTAATATTCACAAGGCTGGGATGAGCTGGGGAGTGGGAGGGCCCATATCCAGGTGTTTCCAAAGCTTAGATAATGAGAAAGTTAAGTCAGGCAGGCGAGAGAACATTCCAGGTATTGAGCACAAAACAGCATGGCTACCTCTTCTGATTGTTTTAGGGAGTTGCAGAGTTCTATCCAGGCTCAAAGACTATAGAGTTGGGCTCTGTGTGTGAAGAGAAGCTAACCTGTGTCTGAATAGGGGGTCAAGCCTGGCCTGGGGGAGAACAGTGAGGAATTGAATGGCTGGAAAACCTGCCTATTGGAGGTTTAGATAAAATGAAGAGATCCATTTATAAGTAACTGCTGCCCACCGGACAAACCCGACCTCAGAAACCACAGCAAGGCTCTGTGCAGGGCTGTATTCCAGGAAGCTAGACTCTTCTGCCTCAGACTGCTATCCCAAATTCTGACAGAATCTAGTATTCGATTACACAAAACATCTGTTGCCAACCCCCGTTCCATGCCCTGGGGGATGAGTAGCTTTTCACCTGTTCATGCTATTAAACTATGCGGACAGAAACTGGCCAGTGTCTGCTGCCTCTAGTTAGGGCTTTCCAAGTATGAGGTCAACCTCTCAATTTAGATAATCACAAACAAACTCCTAAAAACAAGCATTTAAAGATCTCCAAGTTTGGGGAAGCATGTTCAAGCTTTGTATATATGTGTACAAACAGTACATATAATAAACAGCGCAAATAAAGCTGCCATGGAAATCCTCAACAGCATCCAGGAACAAGCAGTTCAGCCATGGAGAGCCCATGTCTCAGGGTCTATGGAACTGAGATGCTTTATCGTGAATCATCAACTTTACTGGACTTGACTCACCATGGAAACACAGCACTGGAAATATCTATGAGGGTGTTTTTGGAAAGGTGTGACCGAGGAAGAAAGGCCTACTGTGGATGTGGGGACACACCAAGGTTACCTGGACTGAATGAGAAGAAAGCGTGCCGAACACAAGGGTGCTTGGTTTCACCACCGTGCTGCCATGCACGTAGTCCCCAGAACTCTGTCAGAATAAATCCTCTCCCTGTTGTCTCTTCTCAAGGTATTTCGTCACCGCAGGAGGTAACTAATATAATGAATACTATTTAAAATGTGCAATATTGGGGGCTGGAGAGATGGCTCAGAGGTTAAGAGCACTGGCTGCTCTTCCAGAGGCCCTGAGTTCAATTCCCAGCACCCACAAGGTGGCTCACAACCATCTACAATGAGATCTGATGCCGCCTTCTGGTGTGCAGGCACACATACAGGAAGAACACTGTATACATAATAAATACATCTTTAAAAAACAAAAAGTGCAATATTGGTGTGCTCCTTTCTGAAATGAAAATACTGCCAATGTGTTTAAACAAACAAATCAAGTTAATTCAAATAAATATCCTTTATTAAAGAAAAAAAAGAATATTGTTAAGCACCAAAACTGTGTGTTGTTACATTGCATGTACAATGAGAAAGGTGAGTGCAATATTGGGTGAACAAGTGTTTAAGTCAGGAGTGTGAAATGAGAAAAAGAGAAAAAGCAACATAATAATGCAGAAGTTGCACTAAAGAGCAAAAGGCAATAGTCAAAACAATTATTGGAGATTTCATAGTATTGCTATAAATGCCTGCTTAGTATTTTCTTTGTATTTTTAATACTTTAGAATGTTAATTGAGCATATGAATGAAGTATATAAATTTGCAAGAGATGGCATTTACAGTACGCCGCAGACAAATCCACTTAATGTAATGATGGGAAAGTCATCCTGCAAAGCCAAGCACAGTGCACTAGTATTTTGCTTCTGCCTTTATAACATTGCACAAAGCTGATAGTGCTGAGTCAGTTTGCCATTGTAATTTTCATATACCCAAAACAGGTGAAAAGAAGTGTCAGTTTCTTAGCCCCAATGGGCTTTACTCATGCAAAATGATCTGCAGCCTTCCATTTCTCAATAAACTACATATTGTGGTATTGTGGTTTCACACTTAGCAATGCATACGGTACAGAGAGATTCAACAAGGCAGTGGGGCTGTGTCAGAGACACTGTGTGTCACTGTTATGGGCTGCACCGTCCAACCTTTGTAACATCACACAAATGAAGAGAAATCACAAGAGAGGGAATGCCACTGCTAACTGCGAGGACTGGGCCAAGGACGATGGACTTTGCAAGGAGAAACCTAAAACAACGCATTGCACCCTTTGATAGTTAACTATACAACATGCAAGTAAAAATGTTTCCTCTCGTTAAAACTCAACATACAGACCTTTTGCTTTTAAATTTCTCAAGGTTTTTCCTACATACTTTCTGAGCCACTTTTAACTGTACTTACAAAAACAAATACAAGAAATGAAACTTCCCCTTCCTCTCAAAACAAATGATTGCTTTCGAGTCAGTGTGAAACAGCATCCATGAACGCTTAGCATGTCAACCTCAGAGGTATCTTCTGTACATGCACCTTGCAGTAACCCAGTAGTGCTTTGAAGACAGGGAACATTTCTAAATTTGGAATCCAATCATACAAATGCCCAGCTGTGCATCACTGTGGGCAAAACGAAAATTTACAATAAGAGCATCTGTAACATAACTCACGGGACATTTAGTAGACACATTCTCTCTTCTCTCTCTCTCTCTCTCTCTCTCTCTCTCTCTCTCTCTCTCTGGGTCAGGACTGCCTCCCATTTTAAAAAACTTCTGTTTAAATACATGACAATTTAGATAATGATATAAACTCATTTGTATGAAAACTTTTTAAGTTACATTATATTTATAGGATAAAAATACCATTGCTTCACTTTACAAAGCAATTAGGCAGAATTTTAATGTGCTTTAACAAAAAAGGAAAGTTCAGGCATGACTACTGATGGATTTAGTAGCAAGACATAAATGCTGTATGCTGAACAGTAAGGTGCTTCTATTTTTTCACATCTTCCATCTAAAGAAGTCTTGATGGTCACTGGCAACACCAAGCACAAATAAAAAGTTTAATATGCACATTTAGCTTTATATCATCATATATTCAGTGCAAAAATGAGGGAAAACTAAAGGTCTCCACTTCTCCTGCCAAATGGCATCGTAAGCTCTCTGCAACTGTCCGAATGTTCTGCAGTTGCTCAAAATTTAGTTACTCTGCTCTACCTGGTAAAAGTATAACTCAAAACTCCCTGAAAGGTCTGCTTAAGACCCAAAGTCACTATGCAGGTTGGTTTCTGGTGATGAGCGTATTACAAAGCTAGGTTAAAAGCAATGGTTTAAATAAATACAAATACATCCTGTGACGAGTTCCAAAAAGAAGTCTCAGGGAGGATAGAGATGCAACTGCATCACTGTGTGCGTCCCTGTGTGGCATGGATGCTGCATAAAAAGCCGCATCTCACTGAACGTTAGATTCTTGGTCTGTGGTTTCCATGATGCACTGTGATATTCTGTGGGCACACACACTCCACGAAGTGTTCATTTTAGGAAAGGCCACCACACCACTATGTTTTTAAAAATGGAATTTGTAGCACTCTTAAAAGGAAGGCAGACAGGTGGATCCCTGAGTTCAAGGCCAGCCTGATTCTACTGAGTTCCAGGACAGCCAGGGCTACACAGAGAAACCCTGTCTTAGGAAAAGAAAAAAAAAAGTCCGAGTGCACAATGAACACCTAAGGAATGATTGTTTTTAATGAACTCCATACCCCTACCTATAAAGCACTCTTTATACTCAATAGCCCCTATAAAGGGCATTGCATATCCCCTAGAAGTCCTTATTATTCTCCAGCACTTTCTTATGCTTAAATACAATTAGCATTTAAATCATGAGATATCCTTTTCTATACATACTACATTGGCTATTAGACACAATTTTGGTTGTATTGAGGGAATATTTGGACTTGACATTCAAGTATGAACATTAGTGTCCCCAAGCGATCATTGGCTATACCGTATTTGGGAAGAGCACAAACAAGCAGGGTCTGTGGACAGGAAGGACAGCAGGAGCACTGAGTGACAACTAAACATTCGAATGCACTGTGAAGGCCAGAGCTCATCACTTCGGGCCCACTGACTTCATCCAAACCCTTTATTATCGTTTAGGAAACATGCTTATCATTTTTCTGGGGCTCTAAATTCACTTTAAACTAATGCGGGTTCACCTAGTGATTTCTCGAACACCTGTATGCTAATTACTTTGTGTTACTGTAAAAACAGTGGCATAATTCTTTAAGTAGAAATCTTTCCTTGGAGGTTAGGAAGCAACACTACTGACGGAACATAAGGTCTTGAACTCTACTCTGAACCACACTCCAGTACAAAACCTGAGACAGAGAACCCGGCATTCAAAATGGGCTGAAGGCTCCGTGCTGTAGCCGTGGATTGTCAAGAATGAAGTCATTCCTGAGAGCTAAGACAGGATGTACTGAGAGCTGCTCATGATTCCTGCTTTCCCACCTAAAGGCCAGGAATTGATGCCAAGACTACAACACAACGGCTGTTGTTAATTTAATGTTATAGTCCTTATTTTCCTAAAGTTTAAAAAAAAAAACGGGCTGTAGAGATAGCTGAGGGATTAAGAGCGTGCACTGTTCCTTCAGAGGATCCAAGTTTGATTCCCAGCAACCATGTGAGGGGGAGTCTATAAATCTAGCTCCAGGCAAGAGCCTCTTGGACATACATACTTAAAATAATTTTTTAAAAAATGAAAACTTTAAAAACAGGAAAAAAAACAAAACCGCAGCCAACCTTATCTTGGCCCCCAGCTGCGGTCCTACCTAGCACTGGGAGGACAAGGGCGGGACGAGTGCTGCGGATCCAGTCTGCACAGCAAGTCCTAGGCCAGCCAGGGCTCCAGAGCAAGACTAGTATCAAAAGTAAATAAAGCTCGGGAGATGGCTCAGTGGTTAACAGCAATGGCTGCTCTTCCAGAGGACGTAGGTTCAATTCTCAGCACCCACATGATAGCTCACAACTGTTTATAACTGGCTCCAGGGAATTTATCACCTTCACACCAATGCACACAAAATAAATCAGTTAAAAATGTTAAAAGTAAAAAAAACTAGATGTGCAGAATACTGATACATGGATATTTAATATTAGAAGTGCATAGATGACGGGTGACTTTTACAAAGTTTGTAAACTTTGCAATTTTTCAGATATTTTTATCTAGCCAATGGATCTTTGGGTATGAAGGACCCACACATCATCCTGGGGTGAGGTTTGTACATCGGAGCTGTTCTAATTCTTCTGGACAAGATGTGGGAATTGTGCTAGGACTAAAACCAATATATAAAAGGTTACAAAAGCTCCCAGTCTCATCAATAAACATGCTACGAATATTCAAGTGCAAAGATTTGGTTTACTTTAACCTGCTATCAGAATTTTTTTTCCATAATTAAAGAAAAATATCTCTCAGCATTGACAAGAAAAGCTGTGTTTCTGGAGGAAGCCATTGTGGACAATGACGTGCTCTCACTGCAGGGTGGTTTCTGGGCTAAGCTGGGGAAGAACTTTCTGGGAATGAAGTTCTTTTTGGTATTTCAATCCCTCCTTATAAAGCCGAGATCTGTCTCCATCACTAGCACACACTAACCGTGCTGTAAACGGGGCCAGCATATCTACTTTCAACAGGTGCACAAATCCCACTGACAATCCATGACAGCTCCATTCATAAGTGGACCCTGTATGATACAGCTAAGTCAGCACTACAACTATGTAAGTTTCAAGACTTGGTGACAGCAACGAATGCTACCCTCATGTTCTATCCAAAGCATAAGAAAATAGTGAAATGCCAGCTGCGGGTTTTGGGGAATGGCTGCCTTCTGGACCTCTACTGAACACATGCTCTTCACCATGGATCATAACAATAAGAACCTAGAACTGGTGCAGGATACAAACAGCTGTCATCTGTAACCCCACTGTTGAATCCTGATTTTTGATTCTCAATAGGAAAGTCATGAGTTACAGTAATCAAGCAGTAGTTCAAACAAAAAGACTAAAAATAATTTGAAACATTATCAAATTACGAAGAACTGCTTCTCATAAACAGGGTGCACATAAAATTCAAACTATTCTAAATTCAGAATTATGAAATGCTATTTTAAAAGCATGGAAATTTTAACTTCAAACTCTTACAAAATGTAAGACTGTGGCCTCTTAAAAATATGCCTTATTAAATGTGTTGTGTTTTGGTGCACACATTACTAGGTCTATCTCCATTGGCTTCTCAGACACTGAACATCTCTGGAGATGAAACAATGTGGGGCTTTTTAAGTGCGTTCCATGTTGTTTTCTTTTCATCCCTGACTGTGACTACCATGATAATTGTCCTCTTCAGCATGTCACTCTCGTCTAGAAGCTGGTGTGGAAGCAGCTGAGCTTCAGCAGATATCTTCTTGGTGCACCGAAAGATGACTCCCAAAGCAGCTCACACAGGAGAACTCTGCCAACCCAGCGTTCTTCTAATCCAGTGACCCCTGGTGTAATTGGCCACCATGAGGCTGTGAAAGGGTGGGCGGGAAGAGGTGTGTAAGGAACAGCCGTCTGTCTCCAGGAGGCCTTCGCAAGGCAGTCAGGAACATTGCACATAGAAAACTGACGTCACCACTACCAGCGAGAGTGACTGGACAGCAATATCCTCCAATTGTGCTTCTTTTTTCATACTCAGCAACTAATGGAATTCAATTTTGGGACCAAGAGATTAAACTTTTTCCCAAAGGAATGAGAACCAGTCTTAATCCGTGGGTATTTTTCTTCTTTCTGTTAAGTCACCTGTATGTAAAGAAAGTAACACAATGTGTTAGAATAAGATACCTCTTACAGGTAGGTATATACTTGTCCCCTCAGACCTTTATTCTTTATATAGATGGGAGAAAAAGCACGATGTTCTGTATTATAGTTCTGTGTTTTCTACTCGAGAAGCTACACATGGTACTGAGGTCTTGAAACACCGCTAGTGTGAGTGAGAAAATATCTTCTAGTTTTTAGATTAAAAAGCTCAAACAAAACTGTTTTCCACTAAGAACATTTCGTTTTGATAGGCTAACCCACTGAGATGTGCTATCAGGAAGCACAACATAAAGACTGACTTAGACTCAAAGCCCTGGAAGTGCCTACAGAGGCCGTGTGCACAGAGGTTATACTATTTCACAACTTTATGGCGACTGTATATGGAAAGGAACCATTTTTGTCATATAAAAAGTCAATTTCATATATCCTTTTTTACCTTTGAAACAGGACCACCATCAGTTTTCCTGAAAAGACATTTATGCCTCGCATCTCTTTCCACTGTTACATGGTATTCCTTTCCCTCACGCTTAGAGAGCCACATAGGGCTACTGTGAGCCAAGCTGTCTGCAGGGAGGCTCAACAGGATGATGGAGAACATACATTTATCTTTTAAATGCAACTGCAAATGTTCCAGGTCATACATCTGCTGAGCGTTTCCTGGTTTTCTTTCAACACTGAGGAACTACCAGCCCCTCCCAGTCTCTCAATCAGTGCGCAGACACAGGATCCACTTCAGCTCAGCTACACAAGATGATGCTGTCTGTGTGTGTCAGGCAAGACCTAGCGGGATGGGGAAGACAAGCACGGAAGTGCTGACCTGAGCTGCGGGGAGGACCGTGACTGGGCGAGGAACAGAGTGGGGAGCTACAAGCAGGAACAACACAGAGGGGCAAGAAGAGTAAAGAGGGAGAATATGTGCAAGTGTCTGCTATGGAAGACAACATGAGTCTGAATACAGCCTATTAGTTAGATAGACTGATAGGAATTTTATTCCTTTACATTTCTTAGAGGAAAATAAAGACCAATGTTTACCTATGAAGTAAGCAAGATGACTGAACATCACTGCACAGAGCAGTAGTGAAGAAAGAGGAAAAGCAGAGTCAACACATATTATAGAGACTGTGACAGAAACCGTGCCTTTGAAGCTTGAGGCGGAGCCACGGAAAGAGGTGCCTGACATTTCCTCATTTCCTAGGCTCACAGGAAAAGTTGGAGGTACTTTTAATATTAACTCTTTATTTGACCAATTCCTATTTTACTGTGCCAAGTCTTCAAAATCCATGTGTGCTTGAATATACATTAAATAAACATCTAGATTCAGAGTCAAAGGCAGGAATCCACTCTTCAGTAATTCCCTTAAGCTATTCTTAAGATCATACATGATCAGGGATCACTGCATACCCTCCCATCCAAAAGTAATTATCCTGGATATATCTCTGCTAGAAAATCATTTACAAATAAGCTCTCCCCGGCTCCTCCCCTGAGATGGGGTCTTTCTGTATTCTGGGCTGTCCTGGAGATCTGTAGACCAAGCTGGACTGAACTCACACAGATCCTCATGCAACTGTCGCTGAGTACTGGGATTAAAGGTGTATGCCAGCACCCTGGCTTTAAGAAATAAGCTATCTTGTATATATCCCCTCTAGAGTGTTCCCTTTTGGAGGGGCTGCTTTACTGTTTTAATATGATTAAAGTCATGTTCCTCCTGCCTCTACTTCCTGATCATTGCCTGGGTATTGCAGAACTGCACGGCCAAGTCTAGTTAAGTCTTCCTCTTTTGCTAACTATCATAAAGTCTATCAGAGAACAGAACATGTCACATGCTCTGTACACTTTGCTGAAACCACTGCGTAACTTACAGCATATGCCATAACCACTTTATTCTTTTCAACATAGTGTAATTTGTGCCATTTAAAAGCAGCAGAGGGCTTGGTGGCATGCACCTTTATAATTCCAGCACGCACCTTTATAATTCCAGCACTCAGGGAGACATAGGCAAGACCAGCCTGACCTATCTATCCAGTTCTAGACCAGCTAAAGCTGCATGGTGAGACCCCATTTAAAAAAAAAAAAAAAGAAAGAAAGAAAAGAGAGATGTAAGCAAGCAGTAGACTACAAATATTAGAATATATGTAACCAAATACAATCTTACTGTGCAGGACTCAAGTGTTCGTATTTATAAATGTAGCTGCTTATTATAGATAACAAAGAAACAGCAGTGTGACTGAACATTTTAAGTATTTAGAAAGCTATGTAATTACAGGCAGCAAAATTATCAAATTTTAATATGCCTAATTTTAGTTCAGTTAAAAAGGCTGAAAAATCTGTTTAAAAAAAAGTTTAAAAATCTGTTCAAGATACAAATAAGACTGCTTCTTTTCTTGGAATATAGCTATACTGTAGATTTTTTTAAATGAGCAAAACAGAAAAAATGACCTGCTGCATAGTATTTACATAGCCACTGCCCTTTAAAAGTGCTTTCTGGGGCTGGAGAAATGGCTTAATGACTAAGAACTCTTGGCACCCTGCAAGAGGACCTGAAATGGATTCCTAGCACACTGTCAGGGAGATCACAACTGCCTGTAACTAAATCTCAAAGTGGATCTAATGTTCTTTTCTGGTCTTTGGTTATTGCACACATGACCACAAACCCTCTGCAGACACATACAAATACGTACAATTAAAAACAAGGGTAAAAAAAAAACAAGCATTTTCCTGGCCAGGTGCAGCGCATACCATGACGGCTAGGGAGTCACAAAGAATGTCAGACCACCCTGGATACAGGCAGACCCTACCCTGGAGGCACATTTGCAACAAAGACAAACCAGTAACACAGAATGTGGCCTCTAGAAGCATGTACACTGGACATCAAAAGAGGGACTGCTGAATAAAGGGACAGAATTTAAAAAAGAAAAAGGCACTAAGCAAATCTAATATCCAGGTAAAGATGATAATGTTTCTGAGTTACACCTGTAACGCCCCTATCTATTAGCCACACCACAGCTGAGTCATATGATGAACAGCCACAGAGAACAGGACCCGCTACAGCTGGATCGCTGGCTCGTGCTGCTGAAGACAGCAGGTCATTTACCTGCTAGTTCTCCCAGTCTGTGCAAGGTAAAGACTCCTCCTCGTCCTCTGACTCTGGGGATGCTTCTTTAATTCTTCTTAGAGCTTCATGGATGCTCCGTGTCAAAGGGTCTGTATCAGGCAGAAGTGTGAAGGATTCTCTCAGAACTTCCTTCTGAACCTTCTTCAATTTTACCCCTTTCCTTATTTGCGCCAAGATATTGTTACTATCATCTTCATCAGGAAAAGGAGGCAGAGTCCGCTGTTCAACCTTTTTCAGATGAAAACTACCACGCTTCAAAGATGCTAACACCTCATCCATGGGCGAACTCACTTTGGAAAACAAAACAAACAGAGTTAGTCAAACTTTGTGACCGCTAATACAAGTGGGGAGATGGTCTTGATATGAAAGCTGAAATTCCCAAGGGACCCCCATATTGCACCCACCATGAGCCCAAGGTAAGACAGTGATTGGTTAATTTTTTAACTAATTTATTTATTCATTTGTTTTCAAGATAGGGTCTCTCTGTGTGTATCCTGGTTGTTCAGAAACTTGCTCTGTAGGCCAGGCTAGCCTTGAACTCATGGAGATCCGCCTGCCTCTGCTTCCTGAGTGCTGGGATTAAAGGTGTGCACCACCTGGCTTTAAAAAAAAAAAAAAAAATTGGAGTTGGAAGACGAGCATCTGAGTTTAAATTCCCAGCATCCATATAAAAGCTGGACACAGCAGTGCATACCTGTAATTCCAGTACTTGGGAAGTGCATGGTGACAGGTGGAGTCTAATGGGGTTGACGTGGGGCTACTGGCTACCTAGTCAAGCTGAAATGGTAACCTCCAGGTTCAGTGAGAGACCCTGTCTCAAAAAGTAAGGCACTTGGGTAAGACACTCAAATTGACTGGCTCAACATGAAAAACTGAGTACATATGCATCTACCACAAACACACACATACACCCGCAGTCCCCCCACAATTTAATGCTGGTTCACTGTCACTGTGCCTTTTCATTTAGTTGTTTCACATGAGATTCTGTTCAGATTGTGGTATGAAGTACTTTACAGAATATTCTCAGGTTAATATGTGATAGCAAGATGCTCTGTATTATTTGCCTCATGCAAACGGAAAGTCCCTCAAAGGCAAGAAAAGTTACTTAGAGGGAACTTTACTGAGGCACACTGACATGTGGTAAGTTGCACAGAACTTCCTGCTCTGAAAAAAGAATTGTCTTTTTATATGAAGAACACTCTTAAGTCTTCAATACTAAACTGTGACCAAATATATGATCTTGTTAATGGCTTCATGCCCTTTCTTACTAATGATATCATTGTCATAAAATAGCATATGAGCTCCACCACTAAGCCAGACTCCCTAGTCAGAACAGTTTACCATTCAAGTTAAAAGTCAGATTTGTTTTTCCTCACACAAAAAGTGCTACCTAACAAATAGGCCAAATGTCACTTGGATATTTTAAAAACCTGTGTAGCTGGGTGGTGATGGTACACACCTTTAATTCCAGCACTTGGGAGGCAGGCAGATCTCTGTAAGATCGAGGCCAGCCTGGTCTACAAAAGCTAGTTAGTTCTGGGACAGGCTCCAAACCTACAGAGAAAACCTGTCTGGAAGAAAACAAACAAACAAAAAAAATCCACGCCTAACAGCTCAAGAGAAGGTATAAATTTGTAAACAATTGCTGAGTTCCTAAGACTTCTCTAGGTCCTGTTCGCTCACCTCTCCTCCGCTGCAAACCGTCAGCTGTCTTCCGGAGCTTCTTCCTGGCACTGACCAGCTGGCTGCTATCAAAGAGCTGCGCTGAGGGGGCGCTGGCTGACTTTGGGATCCTCTTCTCACAGCCCTCCTCTCTAAGTGCATCTTTCTCCAGTGTCTCTGAAGTGGTGGTGGCACCATTGTCCTTTGCAACAGGCAGAGGTGGAGGCGGGGGTGGAGGGGGAGGGGGAGGTGTTGGAGGGGGAGGGGGTGAGAGTGGATCTGCAGCAGCAGAACATGGTTTGAGGTCATTACTGGTCGGAAGTGAGGAGGGAGGAGGCAGTTCAGAGGTAACAGCACTGGGAGGTAATGAAGGGGCTTCAAGTTGTACTGATGAAGTGTCTTCAAGATGGACAAGGCTCTGGGGTTCTGCTGTCTGTGAAGACCCAAGCTTGCTTCTTCCTTCTCCCACTTCAGTCTTCTCCTCTCCCTGCAGCTCTCCGGGTAGAGAGTCACACTGTTCCTCACATGGCCCAGGACTTGCTGTACTTTTTCTCCTCGCATGAGCCACTCTTAATCTTGTTGATTTAAGGATGACTTGCCCAGGGTACCTCTAAAATACCAAAGTTATTGTATGAGTTTATTAAAATAATTTACCAACAAATGCTTAGTTATTTCTCTCTTTAACAGAGTGTTATTATTTTGGCTCTTTTCTGACTTTTTCCAAGGGACAAGAAAAAAGACAACAGAAAAACTAGAAAACCTTTGCCTACCCTTTCAATACCTTTAAACAATTATCACCACCTCTTTTATTGCCTGCTATCAAACCCTTCTTCCCTCTTACCCAGTTGCTTAACAATGCCACATTCAGGGCTTGTTGGTGCACCTGCCTTTATTCCAAGCATCTAAGAGACAGAGGAGGTGGATAGCTATGTGTTTAAGGCTAGCCTGGTCTATATACATTCCAGTTTAGCCAAGGCTATAGCAAGACCATATACAACACAAACAAGAAAACTAGTCAAATGACTTTAAGTCTTCAACAGAAAATAATTGTATATAAAACTCAAGACAAACAGGATCAAATAAAAATATCTATTTGCATATTTACTGGTACTTAGCAAGAAACTAAGAAACTATTATAGTTTATTTTCAAATACTTATATAAAAAAAAGTTAAAACTTTAGGGGGTACAACTAGGCACCTTAAAAAATGCCTGGTCACAATTCTATGACAGAAGGGGGAGAGTGCAAGAAAGTTCGTGATATCGACATTTTTTATTCAAAAGAATCCAGGTTTTCTTGACAATCTACTCTCTCCACTTTACATTCCTGAAGCAGCACACCAGGGGTAAAAGAACATTACTGTCAGACTCAGCCACAAGAAAGGGAACCGATCAAACTACTAAGATTGGAGTAATTTTAAACAGAAATCTTATAATAGGACTATACTATGGCTCTCTCTGAAAAGCAGTGAAAAACCAATCGAGTGTTTCTATTACCTGCTTAAATGTTCTAAGTCTATCCAGGGTCCTCTGTCTCTCTTGGCTAACCCAGGCACTTTTTCTTTCCTCTTCATTGTGTAATTTTTCTCTCTTCTGGTAAAAAAGAAAAAAGGAAAGGAAAAAGGGAAGGAATGGAAAGGAAGGAGAAAGGAAGAAGGAAAAGAAGGATATTACATTACACTGTGCCCAGATATATTAACTATTTTTCACAATATATTAAACAAGAGATTAAGGGAAGATTCACTGGACAAAACCTTTTATGCTGTGCAACACTATAGCTCCTGCAGGACCACACTGGACCGATAAAGATGAAACATTCCCTTAGCACTGCTTAGTCTCGGGGTCTGGGATGAAACAGATTTAGTAATAAATCTGTTTCTGGTTTCCACATTCACCTAACTCGAATAAAAGTGGTTTTTGAAATAAAATCAGCAACCATGTCAGTGATTTAGTGTTGAAGAGTTAGAAAAACACACTTCAAACATCCGTGCATCACGTGGCTCACAGCACACCTTGCAGGCAGTAGTTGGCCACGCTGGTGTTATAACTTTCTCCTCACTGTTGAATCACCTAAAAGGTACAACAGAATCTCACTCGTCGGCTTATATCTTAGTGAACAAATGAAATACAAAGGGCTATTACTTAATTTTAAAAGCTACATTCTTCCCTTCAGCAGCACATGAACTAAAACTGAAATGGGCGTGGCTTAGGAAGGCCTTGCTCACGGCTGCAAACTCTGGAAGCACTGCATACTTAAAACAAGGAACAAGACACACTGGAGCAGCCACCTTATGAGGCTGATTTCCCGGAAATTCAGCTTTTCTACACTATCCTTTTACCGCACTCTCTCTACCCACTGTCTCTTAACAAAGACAGTTCTTACTGTCTTCTCCTCGGAGATAAAGAGATCTTTGCTTCTTTAAAATGGGAGGCAGAGGCAGGTGGATCTCTGTGAGTTCGAGGCCAGCCTGGTCTACAAGAGCTAGTTCCAGGACAGGAACCAAAAGCTACGGAGAAACCCTGTCTTGCAAAAATCCAAAAAAAGAAAAAAGAAAAAAAAAATGTGAGAGGTGGGCTCGGTGTGGTAACATACACCTACATCCCAGTCCTCAGGAGGCAGAGGCAGAGGCAGGAGGATCTCTCTGAATTTGAGGCCAGTCTGGATTACACAGTGAATTCCAGGACACCAGGGCTACATAGAGACCCTGTCTCAAAACAAACAAACAAAACAACAAAAAGAAAAGAAAAAGATGAGACTGCAGAGATAGCATAGTCAGCATAGTGCTTACTACAAAATATAAGACCCAAGAAGCCATGTAAATCCATGTGTGGGGGCTGGGGAGATGGCTTAGTGGTTGAGAGTACTGACTGTTCTTCTAGAGGTCCTGGGTTCAATTCATAGCATCCACAATGCAGCTCACAGCTGTCTGTAACTTCAGTTCCAGGGAACTTGACACCCATGGCAAAACACCAATGCACATAAAATAAACAATAATTAAAACACCAGTCAGTGGTGGTACATGCCTTTAATCCTAGCACTGGAGGAAGCAGTCGGATCTTTGTAAGTTCAAGGCCAGCCTGGTCTACAAGAACTAGTTCCAGGACAAGCTCCAAAAAGCTATAAAGAAACCCTGTCTCGAAAAACAACAACAAAAAACCCCAACATGTTCCTTTAAAAGTATCTCAATGAAACCTTAACCACTCCAAAAGGAACAAAAAATATACTTAGAAACAAAGAAGTGAAAAGCAGGGCTACTGAAAAGCAATGAACTTGCTTAACTCTAGAAGTGGGCCTTAACTGAGAGATGAATGTGACCCTTTCACACCCAAACCCCGAGCACACTGAGTGGAAGGGAACACTGAGAAAGCAGGGCAGTAGCAGCTGCTTTACTGTTCACAGCCCAATGCACTCATCCCAATGCTCAATGCTTTTCCAAGTAGCCTTGCAAAAGAATTTATAAAATTCTAATAGTTCTTTCAGAGTCATGATTAAGGCCTACCTAAAAGTAGCAACAATTAATTCTGGAATTCATTTTTTTCTGGGTTGGTTTATTCTTCTATAATAATCACATATCACTTTATATATTACATACAATAAAGAGGTTAAATCAAAACTTCATAATAAACAAATCTCTTTCCCCCTAGACATGGCTTCTCTGTGAAACCCACTGCTGGGATTAAAAGTGTGTACCACCACCATCAAACATTTAACATCTGGTGTATGATCAAAATTTATGCATAGACATAAAAATACAGAAGGTGTAAAACTTGTTTATAAGAAACCATTCAAGGCTATGCACTAGAAGAAGTCATGTAACTTGTTAAAATGTCCAATCAAATAGTAAGAAAGAGACTGTTTAAGAACAATTAATTCTATATTCTTTGTCATTTCTTGATTTATAAGTCAATGACACACTACATCACACATCAGGAAAAGGGCTCATGCTAGGTCAGGGCTTTAATGAACCAGAATCCTTGGTTTTGTTTTGTTTTTGGAACAAAGTGTAGTGCAGGTTGGCCTTGAGTTCACAGGCCTGCATTAAGGTCAACTAGAGGGGATGTCTGCAGAGCGGTAAAAACACATTTTCTAGTTTGGCCAATCAAGAGGCAGAGGAAGTGATGTTGTGCAATATTTTGTGTTCTGATAAATAAAGCTTGCCTGAAGATCAGATGGCAGAGCTAGCCCAGAAGCCTGGCAGTGGTGGCACACCTCTAATCCCAGCACTCAGGAGGTGGAGAAGGGAAGTGATAAGGAGGGGTGCAGACAGGATCTGAGTCCTTTTGGGGGAGACAGGAAGGAAGGAAGCTGCTGTTAGTTGCTCCTAGTTCTTTGATCTTCCAGGTTTTTACCCTGATTTCTGACTCCTGGTTTTTATTGATTAAGATTAATTAGACTAACACTTCAATGGGATGCTACCCTTTAGATAGGGAAAGCAAGAGAGAGGGGGTTTGGGTTAGGGAGTTGAACAGACAAATATAAGACAACCTGGCTATGGAGGCAAGAAGAATTTGGTAACAGATTTGTTTAGAATGGTGGCTTTAACCCATGTATGACTAGAGCTCTTCAATGGTGCAGGCAGATAGCACGTATAGGGAAATTTTGAACAGTGTCAGGACTCTAAAGACATTCTTGGCAGTAGGATGAACAGTGGAAGCAGTGTTTTTTTAATTAATTAGTTAATTAATTAATTATTAAATAAAGATTTCCGTCTCTCCCCCACCGCCGCC